TTGGAGGGTTAGAAACCTCATTCCCCATCTAGACCTAGTCATGGCTCATTCATCTGGTGCCAACATGAAGCTTAAAGAGCTGGTGTTGACCACGCTAGAGAAAGGAGTTGCATCCCCTCTGAGGCAGGGGACAGGACCATTTGCAAAGCCAGCTCTGCCCTCCCTGACCATGCTACCGGCCCTTCTCTGCCACTTTTCCAATTGCAATTCTTTTGTGCTCCTGTCTGAACTGCCAAAGCTTTCTCAGACATCTCCGTGACAAGGGGCGTTTGCCCCGACAAAGCACCCACCGTGAGACACGAGAGCTCACGGTAATATTCGGCAGTCTGGGCTCTTGGCTCCTTCGGGACGCCGTGTGTAAACGCTTCTCTCCCCTATATTCTTGCCCTTTCCGCGGACCTGAGCACACGCGGTTCTCATTCACAGGCGGCGGTGTTTTTTGAGCGTGTGCTGTCTGCCACGGAGAATCACACGGAGTGAGTACTACCTCTCTTGTACCTCCTATTTCAGAAGGGGAGAGAAAATCATTTGATGGGGATCTCTTTCTAACCCCTGCTAAGGACCGGCGTGACCAGCCGCTTGGTTCAGAAGAGGGGCCGGATATTTCAAACCAAAATTCCTTGATAAATCCGGCCCGCGGTGACCTCTGGGCAGCAATTGATTGTTGAAGGAGAATGTAAAGAAAAGCCAAACACAGGGCCTGCAAATGCTTTCCATTAGCCAAGCGCTATGGATGAGGCTTGGCTTGCTTCCCTTATGGCCAATGCAGAGGTCGAAGCTATACCTTCTTGGCCTGGGGTACACTCGCATAATCCCTCCTGATTGTGACATCTTAGGGTCTTCCAGCCTTGTAGCCCCCCTCCGGGATCAGGGGGATGGAGGCAGCGTAGACTTTCCTCTGCCTGGTCATGGGATCAAAAGTGTTTCAAAGGCACTCGGTCCTTAACCTACAATTTCCCCTTCCCTGCATTTAGCCTCTCAGCCTCGGTCCTGCATGGTTTCCAGTGCAGCCCAGCCAGCAAACTCTCAGCTGCCCGGGTCTTCTCGATGGCTGAACAGATGGCGAAGAAGAACGTGGTCCTGACCCGCCACCAGGTAGGGCAAGACATGTCATACCTCTGGCTGCTGACGGGGAAAAAGGTGTCTTTGATGCGTATGCAATCCTTGATGAATTACTGATGGGCTTTTGAAGCATGGGCAGCAGGCACACCACTCCCATAGTGCGCCTGGTTGCAATGGGGCAGTATCCCATTCCCGGGAGATGGGATTTTCAACCCCCGTTGGCACAAACCCCGTAGCTGGTCCAGCCTCCGAACCTGTCCCTTTGCCGACTCTGACGGGGGTTAGAATAGATGAGCTGGGGGTTGGACTAGGGACCTGCTGAGGTCCCTTCCAACCCTAATTTTCTATGATTTTTATCATGCCAGCCAACAAGCCAGAGCCCCACTGAACCCTCTGGCAGCATCGGCATTTCACCCCCTTTCCTGAGGGGTGCATTTGTTGAGCAGGCCCATACACCGCTCAATGGCAAGACAGGGCAGCAGAGCACCCTCTTTAGCCCCGTCCGAGTTAAACTGGGTTCTGCCCAGTAACACAAGGGTAGAAATAAGGTTGAAAAAGGCAAAGCATTGAACACCAAATCTGAGCAGTGGGGGGGGGGGGGGGGGGGGCGAAGCGAAGAAAACCCCAGGAAAAAAAACCCCAAATTTTTTTTACCCAAGAGCAACAGTTCT